TCACATTCTGTTCACAATCGGATCCCAGAAGGCAGACTTAGCTTAGAAAAGTAACATACACCTGGAAACTATCTCACAAGGAGACAGTCCCTTTGTCCTCTCTTGGCTGGAAGCATTTTTGGCTAAGCAGATGTTGCTTCTTCGATGCATGTAGTCAAAGAGGGAGAGATGGCTGCCCTGCCCTGTGCTTTTGTCATTACCTGCACAGGTGAGGCCACGCCCACCTCTAGTCACATGCAGAGGAAGTCTGTCCCAGCCCAGAAGGAAACAAGAAGTTTACCTGTTGGCTGGACAAACATTCCTCCCCATGTGTAAACATGTTCACTCTAGGAATGTTGTACTTGACTGCTCTTGTGTTTCACATCCCACAGCAAGGTGTACTGCTTCACTTGCTCCCAAATGTGGTAAGTCAGTTTTGCTGTGTTCGGGGGGACCTCCTGCTCATTCTTCTGAGCCTTCTGCCCCCAAGCCCTTCCCTGGGTCACAACTTGGCCTCCCCCAAAGAATCTTGGGAAACATAGTTGGCCAAGGGTGATAGGAACTCTAGCTCTGAGAGCTCTAAATCCGAGAGCCCATGTGGCGTAGTGGTTAGAGTGTCAGCCTACAACCTGGGACACCAGGGTTCAAATCCCACCCCCTCAGCCATGAAGCTCACTGGGTTACCTTGGGGACCAGTCGCTGCCTCTCTCAGCCTAACCTACCTCACAGGGTTATGGTGGGGATTAAATGAAGGAAGAGAGAATCAGGTTAGCCACACTTATGTCCACAGAAAAGTTGGAATATAAATGAGATAAATAAATATGCATGGGATTTGAATGCATATGTGGGAAGCATTGAAACAGCAATTCCATTCTACCCCAGGGAAGGGTAACCTGTGGCCCTACAGATGTTGCTGTGGACCCCAACTCCCATCTCCCTAGTCCATTTGCTTTGCTGGAGTCCAATAACACATACTGCCCACTCTTTCTCTGCACTGTGGCCATACAGAGCTGTTGTTGCTGTTGCTGTTTATGTTGGTCCAGCCCAGGCTTCCTCAACCTCGGCCCTCCAGATGTTTTGAGACTACAATTCCCATCATCCCTGACCACTGGCCCTGCTAGCTAGGGATCATGGGAGTTGTAGGCCAAAAAACATCAGGAGGGCCGAGGTTGAGGAAGCCTGGTCCAGCCAATCCTGGTGAAAATAAAACATGAATGTTTTAACAGCCTGTGAAATAACATTTACTTTTTGGACCAATATATTGCTTTGCTCATTTGAACTAATCTCCCCAAACGCAGTTCAATATGCAGCTTGCCTGATTCAGCGTTATCAATAATGTATTTCTTAATTTAAACCATTCATTAAAAAATATCCGCAAAAGCCTGTGGCAGAGTCTGTTTCAAAGAGTGCAATGACCACCCGCTCTGTGCCATAATGAAAGACAAAGGGGCAGTTTTGTGCTCATTTATGCTGTGCATGCTGCAGTGAATCGGCTTGGGAGGTTAGCTCAGGGAGGCCAAAAATTACTGGACTGGATATCAAAGGAGCCTGCTGAATCCGGCCAGTGGTTCACCTGTCAGCATCGCCCTTGAGCCAGTGCCACCAACTGGACTCATACACTTCAGCCCGACTGGGCTAGTTGAGATGGGTAGCACTTCCAGAGACCACCTTCTGCACAGGAACAGGTCAAAGTGCTGTGGACTCACAGCTTAGAGTTGTGAGCACCGGATTCACTTCCACAAGAAGACAGTCGTCGCACAGCAGAGTATAGCAGAGCATAAATGACTTGGAGAGCAGCTCTGTGGAATATCTTCTTTATTCTATCTACAACTATAATACACAACTATATACAGAGCTAAACGAGGTCTAAACGAAAATGCTGAACTGCACTGAGTGTCTGCAGCTGCTCTTAGCAGCAACCTTATCTATACACACGATCTCTAACACTCAGTCTTTCTCTCCCCCCCCCCCGACACTTTGATGTGAGGCTGGAGCGGAATAAGTAGAGAGCAGAAACCGCCCCCTCCTCTCTGGAGAATCAGCAGAGCACATCAGCAGATTCTTGGATATGGGAGGGGTGAAATCTCCTCACCACCTAGTCCAGCATCCTGCTTTCACAGTGGCCAACCAAATGCCCCAGTGGTCAGCCCATAAGCAGGACCTGAGCACAACAGCATTTAAACTAGTTCTGGGGATCATATTTTTAAAATACCCACACTATATCTGGGGAGACACTGGCTCCACCCACTCCCAGCTTTGGCCCCACCCAGCGTCAACATGTGGCCCTACACAGGACACACACACAGCCCAGTGAATGTGGCCCCTAATGCAAAACATATTCCACAGTGGGATACAAGGTTCATAATGAACGCTCTGACACAAGTCCTTCAGTGTCGTCATGAAAAAGAGCACACAGAGGGGAAATGAACTGCACACCAGAAGCAAGTCTGGCAGTCTAAAATCTCCATATTGTTCATTTAACAATGAGCAATCCCTTGCCATATTTTTGCCTTTGGTTGGAATACAGAATTTATATGGTTTCAGTACATTGTGTCTATACCTGAACTGGTCTGTTTATGTCTTGGATGTAATATTATTCTACAATTAATCGTTTAAACCTTTTCATATGTTACTTGCTCAGATAAAATTGCACGATGTTTTTGTCTGCAATTTTATCTGCAGTACAGTTTTGCTGCATTATGTTGTAATGTGGTCTATTGATGAAGGGCAGCGTATTAATTTAATAAATAAATAAAGTAAAGTAAAATCTATTCATAAACACCATCAGATAAAACCATATGGAGCAAGAAGGTGTCAGCCATGAGGTTATTGCGTCATATTAATCATGAACAGCCCCACAAACAGAAGCAAAGTCTGTGGGGTCTGCCTCACCCCCTGGGGACCCGTTTTTCAGAGATGGTGAGAAACATGACTTTTAAAAATCACAAGTCCAAAGAATAGAAAGATGCCTCCTCCCATCTTCAAGAGATCACTAACCTAGTGGTGGTCAGCAGATATAGAATTGCTGACAAAAAATATTGGCACTTGCACCATCAAAAATGGACAAAAGACATAACTCAGCATTCAAAGTGGTTTTAGAACTCCTGAGCACAGTTACATACCCACCACATAGGCGAGTATGTTCCTCACACCTTCCGACCCCACCAGCATAAGGGAGAACCAGATCTGAGCTAGTTGGATCTGGGTTATAAACCAGTGATGGGCCACCTTCAAAGAACTGTGGACTGTGAACTGGTGTGCACGACAGACCCTGGGGCGGCAGTGTGTGCATGTGCGGAGGTGTAAGTGACTTGCTGACTACCACCGGATCAAGTTCATCGTTTGTGTTGAATAGCTTAAAATAATCAGTTTTACTGGGAGTGTGAATAAATTAATTGCAATTAATAGTTCTCTTAGTGGGCCATGCAAAGTGCCCTTCAGAAAGAGTCTATTTCAGGGGTCAGCAAGGTTTACCTTGCCTGGGCCGGTTCACTCCAGTGGAGATCCCTCTGTGAGTTGGATTGTGTACGTGCAAGCGAGCGTGCACACCCACAATTTCCTGTGTCTGCGCAGATGCGATTTCCAATGTCTGTGCCTGTGCAGATGCGATTTTCAGCAACTGCGCACACACAAGCATGATTTTTGGCACCACGGAAGCGAGTCCCTGCGCTGGTTTAGTGCAGTGCATGGGGACTCGCCAGGAAGGCGGCTCGGTTCGGTGGTGGCTCGTGGGCCAGTTAAATGACCCCCGTGGGCCAATTGTGGCCCATGGGCCTTAGGTTGCCTTGTTGTTGTTGTTTAGTCGTTTAGTCGTGTCCGACTCTTCGTGACCCCATGAACCAGAGCACGCCAGGCCCTCCCGTCTTCCACTGCCTCCCGCAGTTTGGTCAAATTCATGCTGGTAGCTTCGAGAACACTGTCCAGCCATCTCGTCCTCTGTCGTCCCCTTCCCCTTGTGCCCTCCATCTTTCCCAACATCAGGGTCTTTTCCAGCGAGTCTTCTCTTCCCATGAGGTGGCCAAAGTATTGGAGCCTCAGCTTCAGGATCTGTCCTTCCAGTGAGCACTCAGGGCTGATTTCCTTCAGAATGGAGAGGTTTGATCTTCTTGCAGTCCATGGGACTCTCAAGAGTCTCCTCCAGCACCATAATTCCAAAGCATCCATTCTTCGGCAATCAGCCTTCTTTATGGTCTTTCTTTAGGTTGCCTACCCCGGTCTATTTTGATTGAGTAAGGAGGAACACCTGCTCTGCCTTCACTTGTGGGGTGGGTGGGTGCATGACTGCTGACCTCTAGGCCTCGAGACTTTCCCCAGGTTCTGCACCTCCGATGCCACCCGCCTCCCCAGCCCTGTTCTGCCCTCTCCTTGAGCGCCTTCGCCTGGCTAGGAGGTGCCTTTGAACTGCCACGATGCCTCGCTTACCTGAAGCTGCTCGACAGGGGAATGGACTGCACAGGAGGTTTTTAAACAGAAGTTGGATGGTCATCTGTCACCGATTATTGATTCCTGCATGACAGGGGGTTGGGCTAGATGACCCTAAGAGGTGCCTTGCAACTCTGCAATTCTGATTGCAGAGGTGGGTTCTATAGAGCGCATCCATAGAAAACCACCGGCTTTTGCGCGGCGCGCACATAGCTTACTGCCAGGGCTGGCTGGCTCGCCCATGAGGTGAGGTGAAGCGACTGCCTCGGGCGGGCAGGATCCGCGGGGCGCGGTCAGATCCGGGTGGCCCTGGCGGCGGCGGCTGCTATGTCTGCCCCAGCAGCGGCTGCAGCTGCGGCAGCTTCCCCTCCAGCTGCCGCCCCTTTCCGACAAGCAAGCGCAGCGTTACTTCCTGGCGTCACCCGCACCCTGCTCGCCCACAGGGCGGAGAGGGACCATCGAGCAAAGCCTTGCAGGTGTTTTTTCTGAGTCCGCCCCCCACCCATCCCGCCCGCCCGCGTTCGTGCTCAGCTTTGCTTCCTGGTTTTGCGATCAGGAAATGCAGTTTGCATTTCTCACTTCCATTCCCGGGTGTGTTTACTCAGAACAACGAGACTTACTTACACAAGTAAGAGTGTGCACCAACTTCAGTCCTCATTTTCATTTATTGCCTCGCTTTGGCCTTCTGATTCCTCTTCTCTCCTCCTTTGGAGACACCCTCACTCGCAACCAAATCTCCGGCTTTTCGACAGAGTTACTTTCAAAAGCGCCGGGTTTCTCGCGCGAATGGGGCGCTTTCACAGCTCCCTGGCCCGGTTGCTGCTCCTGCACAAAGCACAGAAAACTAAGGTAGGCATTTGGGGGGGGCGGGGCGGGCACAGCACCACCACCTACTTTCCTCTCCTTGAATTGTGTATCGTTCTGAACTGCGTTTTGAGTGAGAGAAACACCGTATGCCAACAGCGGTGCGATTTATGCCGTGGCCTTTGCTATAAAAAAGAGGCGCGACTCCTGCGCCCGCGCGCGTAGGGCCCTTAACAAACGATTATTCTTGCGGGAGCAATTTTCTAATTCGCCTCAGGTTCCCGAATGCCTCGGGCCAGCCCTGCTTACTGTTCAGAGAGGTCAGAGTCCATTGCCTTGCTCTGCCCACTTTTTGTTCCCGACAGGCTGGTGCAAGAAGGGTCGCCACAATAAGATGTGGCCCTTGGGCTAAATGCCCCCCCGCCAAGGACAAATGTCACTTCCAGCACTCTGCCCCGCAACACGTTCCCTTCTTTAAATTATCAAGTACAACCTGAAAAGCAGCCTGTCAAGCTTATTCTTTTAGTGTGCGGGAGGCTGGCGCAGGGGTCCAGTTCTGGCAATTAAACACTTGGGAGATTTTGCTGGAACTGAGTTCAGGAGGAGGTGGCGAGGAGAAAAAGGAGGAGGATTTGCACCAGGACCCTTCACGAAGCTTCTTGTTGCAACAGCTGATTTTCCTCTCAAATGTCAGGATCGTGTGAATTATTGTGCCGCATGGGGGTGAGGGAGGTTGTTTTTACTGACGGCCTGAGTTTATTTCGTGTTTTTATAATGAATTTGCACTTTGTACTAAAATCAATAAAAATATTAATTAATAAAGGAAGCGGGAATAATGGGGTGGGGCGGGGGTGGGGCAGAGAGGAGGCAATGAGAGTAGGTCGGGGAGGGAGGATCAGAGGGATCTCGACGGCTCCTGCCTTCCATCCGTTCTGATCTCCTCCTGGATCCCCAGATACAATTCTCTGCTCAGCTATTTGCTTCCAATTTGCGCCTCAAAGGCGGATTAAATAGTAATAATATTAATAATCATAACAGCAGCAGCCCACCTGCCGGCTGGATCGCTGCGGAGTGGCGGAGGGCGAAGGAGGGTGACTTGGAGACATATTGACGTGATAAATATTGCATGGTCTTTACTTGGGGGTGGGCATAGGCTGCGATTTCTACATCCACCCAAGGAGGTGGGATAAGCGAGGCGCATCCCCGGGCGCCTCGGGCGCGCGCTTGGCCTCTCCTAGTAATAGAGATTGTGATTTTTTTTATTATTTTTTTTAAAGTGGGTTGGAATTGAGGAGGTGCGGGAGGAAGGGAGAGGAGGGGGCGAGCTCAGCGCCGCCGCCGCCGCCGCCTTCAGGCAGAACCAGGGCTAGGAGGCATCTCCGGGGCCGGGGAAAGCCTCTCCGCCGCTCTTCTTCGCGCTCGGGACGGGAGCCTCCATGGCGGCGCCTTCGGTCCTGCGCCGGGAGTTCCGCAGGACTCGTCCGGTCGTGGGGTCCCTCCTGGTGATGCTGCCGCCCTAGAAGGGACCCTTGGGAGCCCAGGATGGAACGGTAAGGGAGGCGGGCACGGCTCGGGCTTGCGTGAGAGAGGGGACCTACATCCCGTGAAGGAACCTGGGGAAGATGGGATGTTGGTACCCAAGGCGGCTGCATCCGGGGAGATGAGCGAGGAAGGATGCGCTCGCTCGCTCGCTGGCGCACGGCAGAGTCCGCTGTCGGGGCTCGGCGGACTGTAGGGGAGGGGGCTGGGGGGGCGCTGAAGCTGCTCCCCCCGGTTTGCAGACCAGAAGGCTCTCCTAAAGCGCAGAGTAAAGGCTTGGGAAGGGACATAGCAGAGCCAGGCTGGGAACACAAAGATAAACCGCCGTGCACCTCCCGAAAGGAGTGGCTGGGTGTGTGGTGGGGCGGGGGGGGGGGGAGGAAGAGGTGTGAATCTCTACATCTCTCGTGGCTTTAGAAGAGGATGGGACCCATTCATGGAGAGGAGGGGGCTATGGAGATCTACTAGCCACGATGAGCACGCTCTGCCTCCGCAGTCGGAGGCAGCGATGCTTTCGTTGGGGGCAACGCCGCGAGGGGAGAGTGCTCTTGTGCTCGAATCCTGCTGGGGGGCTTCCCATAATGGGCACCCGGGGGCCAATGTAAGAACAGGATGCTGGACTGGATGGGCCACTGGAAAGGACCCCCAGGGGTCATCTAGTCAACCCCCTGCAATACAGGATTACATTATTCTGATATTCTTATCTCCATATAGAGGTTAGGTTGTGTAGAGGGTGGGGTGACGTCGAGGGGCTGCCGTCGGGGATAGAAACCGGAGGAGGTCTGCGCTAGGATCTACGGGGGTCGATCCGTGTCACCTGGAGGACAAGCGGCTAGCAGGTGACAAGGAAGAAGGGGTGTCTCGGGGCTGATCTGCAAGTTGGACGGAGAAAGAGAAGGAGCGAGGCAGGAGAGGAGCGGAGGGGGGCTAGCTAGAGAGAGAGGGTATCATTTCGAAACCCCTTATTTTTCTGGGCGCTGGCAGTCAAACAGAGCGAGCGGGAAAGCGGCTGGGTGCTCCTTTTCTCCTGAGAAGCCCCTCTCTCATTTACTGACTTTTCTGCCCCCCACAGAAAGAGAGTAAGGTTGCAATCCTGGGAACAAGCCCCGCTGAATCCGCGGCAAGCCACGGTTAGGGCTGCCGCCTCAGAGGCACCCTGAACGCTCTGGCGAGGGAACCAGCGTTGCGGAGCTGGAGGAGCTTTGCTTCCCAGCGCCCGGGAAAGGGTAGCCTGGCAGAGAGAGCGCGGAAAGGAGGGAGGGGCCCGTGGCTCAGCGCCAGAGCCCCTGCTGGGCATGCAGAAGGCATCTCCAGGTAGCGCGGGGAGAGGCTCCCTGCCTGAAATCCTGGACAGCCGCTGCTACCAGCCAGTATCGACAATACTGGGCTAGATGGATTAACGCTGGCAAACGGAGAAATAGGAGGAGACGCCTAAGGACTCCCACTGCCACCAGCCCCAGCACGCGTGGCCAATAGCCATGGCTGATGGGAGTTGTAGTTGAGGGGCCGCGGTGGCTGACGGCGGATGTTTTTGGAGGTAGGAGACCGCCTGCAGGCTATGCTGTAGACCAACTCTGACTGTGGTCCTCTACTTTCTCTCCCCGCACCCTTGCAGGGCTAAGATGCTGTCGGGGGCGTCCCCGCTGCTGCTGCTGCTGATGCGCTGTTGGCTGGCGGCGACCTTCCTGTGGGCCCCGATCCGCGGCTGCCCGGAGCCCTGCGCCTGCGTGGACAAGTACGCCCAGCAGTTCGCTGACTGCGCCTACAAGAACCTGGAGGCGGTGCCGTCCGGGCTGCCGTCGAACGTGACCACCCTGAGTCTGTCGGCCAACAAGATCGCTGAGCTGCGCAGGGGCTCCTTTGTGGAGGTGACGCAGGTGACCTCCCTGTGGCTGGCGCACAACCGGATCGGGGCCATTGAGGAGGGCACCCTGGCCATCCTGGTGCAGCTGAAAAACCTGGACGTCAGCCACAACCAGATCGCCGACTTCCCCTGGGGAGACCTGCGCAACCTCAGCGCCCTCCAGCTCCTCAAGATGAACAACAACCGGATGTCCCACCTGCCGGGAGAGGCGTTCCGCACCCTGCGGGACCTGCGCTCCCTCCGCATCAACAACAACCGCTTCTCCGAGGTGGCCGAGGGGACCTTCGAGGCGCTCACCTCCCTGTCCCACCTGCAGATCTACAACAACCCCTTCAACTGCACCTGCCAGCTCATGTGGCTCAAGAACTGGACCGAGAACACCTTGATCTCCATCCCAGACCGCAACGCCATCACCTGCGCCGCCCCGGAGCCCTGGAAGGGGCTCCCTTTGGCCAAGGTGCCCTACCTGCACTGCGCGCCCCCTAGCGTCCGCTTGAGCTACCACCCTAACCTGGACCGCACCCGGCTCTCCTACGGCTTGGCTCTGGCCCTGCACTGCCACGCCCTGGGCCTCCCGCAGCCCGAGGTCACCTGGAGGATCCAGGCCGCCGGCGAGACCCTGGAGATCAAGGCACCGGCGGCGGAAGGAGAAGGCAACGCCCTGCCCTCCGACGGCTGGTCCAGAGGAGACCGGGAGAGATTCCAGGCCTTAGCCAACGGCACGCTGCTCATCCCGCACCTCAGCAAGAAGGAGGAAGGCACCTACACCTGCCTGGCTGCCAACGAGATGGGCAGCAACCAGAGCTCGGTCCACGTCGCCGTGGCGGACGCCCCCGCGAAGGACTCGGCGGGCTCGCTGGGGGACCGCAAGGCCCAGCCCGGGGATCGGAAGCCGGAGGGCAAGGCCTCCAAGAACAGCGTCATGAAGGCCGAGGAGAGGACCAAGCTCCTTCCGGAGAGACCCACGCCCAGGAGCTACCACGCGCCCGGGCCCCGGAACGCCAGCGGGTCGTCGGGGCCGCCCGTCTTGGCCAAGCAGTGCGGCTCGAGCGAGGCCCCCCAGTACGTCTCCAACCACGCTTTCAACCGCAGCGGAGCCCTCAAGCCCCACAGTTTCGACCTGGGGGTCATCGCGCTGGACGTCTCGGAGAGGGAGGCCAAGGTGCAGATCACCCCTTTCTACACGCAGCCAGAGAAGGTCCACCTGAGGAGGCTCTACCTGTGCGAGGCGGGCCGGAGGGGCCACTCCCTGGTGCAGTGGTCCCAGATCGAGGAAGGGGTGAACTCCTACTGGTTCCAAGGCCTCAGCCCCGGCACCAACTACTCCGTCTGCATGAGTTACGTCGGGGAGGACTGCCAGGTCCAGGTGGTCTTCACCACCAAGCGGGAGGTGCCCTCGCTGGTCATCATCGTGGTGGTGAGCGTCTTCCTCCTGGGCCTGGCCACCATCCCTCTGCTGGGCGCCACCTGCTGCCACCTGCTCTCCAAGTACCAGGGCAAGACCTACAAGCTCATCATGAAAGCCCAGAACCCGGACCAGATGGAGAAGCACATGGCGGCGGACTTCGACCCGCGGGCCTCCTACCTGGAATCCGAGAAGAATTACGACCCCAGTGAGGTGGGGGAAGGGGAAGGCGAGGAGGAAGAGGAGGAGGAGGCGAGGGCGGAGGGAGAGGCGGAGGGGCGGAGGGGGCTACCTGGGGGACGACAGCTGGAGAGAGACGAGAGCCTGGCCGCCAGCTCCATCCCGGAGTCCCAATCCAAAACAAACCCGGAGGAATTCGAGGTGGGCTCCGAATACAGTGACCGGCTCCCGCTCGGAGCGGAGGCTGTGACGATCTCCCAGGAGATCAACGGCAACTACAGGCAACCGCCCCGTTGAGGCTTCCCTCGGGCGGTTCCCGGAGCTCCGGGCGCGCAGAAACCGAAGGGAAGCGCCCTTCTTCACTGGGGCTCGGGCACCGCTTGCCTGATCGGCTGCGACCTTCTCTGGAAAGGTGCTCCTGCCACCGGGAAGGGACGTCTCTCCCCAACACCGAGAGAGTCCAGCAGCCGGCGCCTAAGGCTGGCTTTGTTCAGGGGCTGATTTTAGGAGGGATCCCCCCCCCCCCACGGATTTATAGAGATGTCCTAAATATTCGGGCAAAAGAATGGATTGGGTATGGGCAACACAGCCTGGAGAAATTCATCCCCCCCCCCCCTTTCTTGAAAACCCTCTACTGCATATGCTCCAAACACAAAAGCTTACGTTTTCCACCCCACCCCATCACCTGTCTTCTAAAACGCACCCCCTTTCCCACGCACTCCCTCCGCATTTTCGTGGATTTGATAGGCTGGAAACTAAATTGGTTAGGGTCCGCTCCCGCACCAATATTCTGAAATACGCACCCCACTTTTCCCACGCGCCTCCGCGTTTTTGCAGATGCAACTTCTTTTCTAAAATTGAAATTTACAATTGGTTATGGTTTGCTTTTTTGTTCTGTTTTTTAAAAAAAGGAAATTAACGAAAACACGACGACGACAACGCATTAAAAGTCGTTGGCCCTAATCTGGGAGCGAGAGTCTCCCTTGGCGTTTAGGGAAAGGGTGTCCATTTCAGTTCAGGAGGTTAATGGTGCTGGACAGCTCCCGAATCCCCACCCCCGAATTGCCTTCCCCTCTCCAGCCCCTTAACCCCGTGTGAAGGAGCTTGCGGTCAAGGAGGTCAGTGAAATGAGGATCCGTGCCAGGCAGCGGCCCAGATCCCCAGCTTGTCTCATCGGCTGGTCAGGATCACCTGTGTTAAATAATTGGAGCCGTGCTGTAGATAAATGTGTGTTATGTCTGTGCGTGACTTTGGACCGCTGGTGGACGCGTGGAGTTTGAGTCCTAAGGGCTCCCAATTCCTGGTCTGGATACTGACCCCCTTCCCCCCTTCTTGCAGCCCTGTCTGAGTCATGTCACCTCCACGAAGATCCGTATTTGCTAAATGTTTATTGGGTAGAGTAGTCTTGCTTCTAGAGAAACGTGCTTGCCCTTGATGTGGTTCTGTGATGTTCAAAGGCAAAAACGATGGGAGGTCCCGGTGGGTTGATTTTTTTGCTGTGTTGAGAGTGGAAACAATTTAAATATCGTTTGCAAAGGATGCAGTCGTGCTTGGCATGGAATGATCATGGTGGTTTTTGCCTCTGTTAAAGTAGAGAGAGAGAGAGATGCAACCCAGTGTCAACTAAGAAAGCCAGCGCAATCATCTCCAGGGCGGAGAAAGAGAAAAATAACGATGGTATCACTAATGTGTGATTGTTAATTATTATTGTGCAAGGAATCCTTTAGAAAGGAACAGGCTGAGCAACGATAACCTTTTTTCACCGTGCCTCTGTATGTGGAAAGTCAAGAATAATGATAATAAAAACAGACTTAAAAGTGGACATTTGGAGCCTTGTTTTGTAATTTGCAAATCGGCAAAGTGTGTTATGTTAGATTTCAGAGCCGAGAATGAAAGCGGCGCTAGATCGAAAGGAAATGTCTGAGCAAATCTCCCCAGGATCCGTTTAGCATGAAACGGAGCTGGCGATCAAACGTTGCGCCCAGATGCCGCCGCGGCTTTGAACATTAAAACAGCTGCGCTGAGCAAACCGCATCTATTTTTCAGGCTCCCCACCCCCGGCCCACCCCGGAGTCTTTAATACCCAAATCATTCCCTTTTTAAAGGATATGGGATTCTCTAGGATGCATCTACCTGCTATGGATTTTTATGGACAAGTGAATGGTATGGATGGCCTTTTATGGGCGAGGAAGAATGCAAAGTCCGCAGTTCCTGGTGGGCGGAATGTACAAAAGAAAAAGAAAAACGCACGCACTTGTTCGCTAAGAAACATAAGGTTGCCGCAATCATACCTGAAAGTCTTACCTGAAAGTAAGCTTCAGTAAACGCAATGGGACTTACTTTCGAGTAGTCATGCATGGGAACTGCGTTGTAAAACACGGGTTGTAGTCAACAGACTTTTACTCAGAGTAGACCCATTAAGGTCCATTAATAATTGAGATCCATAAATTTGAATGGGTCGACTCTGAGTAACCAGCAGTTGAATACAACCCAACGTGTCTTCCGCTGCAATTCCCGTGCATGTCTACTCGGGAGAAACTCCGTTGCGTCCAATGGAGTTTACTCTCAGGTAAGGGGATATACCATTCTTTTTCTTAGGGAAGAAACTGCCATAAATGAGGTGTCAGACTGGACACGACATTTTGTTTGCGGTGTTTTGAAAAAGGCAAAGTGGAAAGACCCCTAAAATGAAAATACCCCTCATCGCTTCCTATTCTCACCCTAAAGGGGGGGGGGTCCTGTCATCTGGACACCCTGCCCCGGCCTGCGCCCCACGAAGGGCACTCTGGCTTTGGGTTACTTTGAGTTTGAAAAAACCTGCCTGGGCCAAAGAACAAAATAGGGTGGCCACCACGACCTGATCCCAGTCTGCCGCCTAGAGAAGCAAAGCGACGTAAGCCCCCTATCATAGAATCAGTTGTAGAGTTGTAAGGGGTCTTGGGGGTCGTCTAGTCCAACCCCCTGCAATACAGGAATCACGGCTGGTTCAGGGAAACTCTCAGCCAGGCAAAGGGTGCGTCGCCCATCCCAAAGCTGCAGGATGTTGGTCTATTAGGTTCAACGGAGCCCCCAGCCCACCAACCTCAGCTGCCCTCTGCCAGGACCCACCTGCCTACCTTCTCCCAATCCCTCCAGCCTAGAGGGATGGCTCTTCCTGCCACCTTCTTCAGCTCCCTTGCGGAACTCAGCGAGGGGGAGCTGGGCAGGGACGGCGATAGGAATTCGTTGGCTCCGCGTGTCCGTTGGCTCTGGCGCCACCTGCTGCTGGCCTCCTTCGCCATCTCAGTTCCAAGGAGCGCCCACTAAGCACCACCGCCCAGAGCAGGCCCGAGCCGAGCCGCGCAGCTTGCGGCAGGTCTCTCCGCTGCGCGGAACAGCTTGCATATGGCGCGCGTATTTGCGCAGGGCTGAATTCCAACGCGAGCGGAGTCTCACGCTTGGGACCACGCAAAGGGAGCGCGTCCTTCAGGAAGCGCAAAGGGGCTTTGAGGGTGGGGACCCCCGAGCCCTCCGAACCATCCGCATCCCACCTGAGGCTCGAACATGCCTCTTTCAAGACAACAGTTAAGCACAAGTGGCAATGCTGAGCATATGTGCAGCCAGCCTTGCCTTATGCACCGGGACTATCGGTGTGCTCTGCCAGGTCCCACAAACTGACCCGGCCTATGCCTTTTTCCAAACTGCTTTTGGGTGCAGGAAAAGCTCATAGTCCGCAGGGGCTGCAGCACAATCCTGTGCCCGTTTACGCGGAAGTAAGTTCCATTGTGTCTGCAGCGGGTCTTGCTCGAGCGTGCAAAGGATTGCAGCCCCGTGCATGGAAAGGGATGGCAGGATTAAAGCCACAGGAATTCCTACTTGGCTATTCCAAATAGGAAAGGAGAGAGTGTGTGAAACACCGCTGATGTGTGCAACAAAATGCATGTTTATTTGTTGCTGTGCATGCACCCAGCAAAATACATATCAAAATACATATCTTGGGTTATATCATGCATTTTCTTGGACGGAAGTAAAATCCAAATACGAACACATGAGAAGCAGCCAGAACCAGATCCTTGAAAGGTACGTTTTTTGTAATTTATAAAAATATTTATATACCACTATATCATCAAAAGAAAAATATCAAAGCAGTTCGCAGCAATGAAACGAAAAAATATACAATAAAAGGCATATATAAAAAGGTTTTTAAACCCAACATCTATTAGCCATTGTGGAAAGATGGATTCTTAATTGACTACGTAGGCAATCTATGCCTGTCTGGCACATATCGGTATATGATTAGCACATGTTTGTATTATGTGCGCACAGCTGCCGTTGTGTGCATTTAGGTAATTTTAGATTCGAGACTTAACAGCACAATCCTGTGCACGTCGACTGAGAAGTAAGTCCCATGGAATTCAGCGGGGCTTTCTCCCAAAAGCGGGCATGGGAGTTGCAGCCTTAATGGTTACACAGTGCAAATTGTACCTTACTTAATGCAAAAGCCCTACTGCATTTGGGGGTCCTCCTCCTGACCATTCCGCCGCGCAAAGCTCCGGACCCCCAAATCCTCTCCTGCCCAGACAGCTGGTCTTTATAAGAGAGGCTTCTCCAGGGCCAGGGCAGCGAAAATGGACGGATAGCGAAATGCCTTTGGATATCAATTACTGCCAGACAAAATTAGCAGGATGGTGGCGGAGCAGAGCAGATGGGCCTTGGCTCGGATTCCGCATGGCTCCTGGGATCTCATGGGAAGGGTGTGGCCGCTTGCCAGAAACACGGGGGCGCTTTGTGCGCGGCCCTCGTTTCAAATGAATTGTGTGTGTGTTTACCTAAGGACGGGGCTTGCATGTGCGCGGAAGCAAGCTTTTAGGGTTCCCGCTACTGTGAAGATTTACAAGCACACGCATCATGTGCATAAGCAGCAGTTTTAAATGCAGGCGTGGTGTGTGAGTTAGTTAGGGAGCTGGGCGTTTATGCAGAAGTAGGCGTGGGTATTCCTGCCCCCATAGAATTGTACGCGTGCATGCAAGAGTTTTAAATCATACAAACACACAACCTGCATGTAGCACAGAGGTAGTGTTTGTGTACACGCTCTTGTAAAAAGCTGCACGCGCACACACTCATGTTTTAAATACATCTGAGGTGTGCGTCGCGGGGGCTTGCATATCAGCAGAAGTCATTTTATTCAAGCTCCCGGGGTGTGGGTGTGCTCCTCCCCGAAGCTAGGGCACCTTTGTGATTACAAAGAAGAGCTAAGTGGGCACGATTCATATTCCTTCCTTCTTATGAAATTTAATCTGGATGCTTGAAATTTCTAC